GGGGTATGGGGGGGATCATCTGAATCATCTGGATTGGCAGGGCAATCAAAGATTTTAAATGATATTATTGAGTTATTAAGTAACTTACAGGGCTTTCAGAGGCAATTTATAGAATTTATAGTTAACAAGAATGTTTAGGAAAAAAATTTGGGGGGGGGGTGTGGGGACCCAGAAATAATAATTTGCTGGAGGGCATCATAGGTTTTGGCAGGGCAACTGCAATCACGGTGCTGCAATGCACCACTTCGAAAGCAATGATGTGTTTTAGTTGATTCTTTAACATTCTTTCTAAAGTTATAATTGCTGAAGTGCTGCCAAAAGACAAGAAATCCAAGGAGGAGAAAACATTAACTCTTGGACAATGCTGCATTGACTTGCTTCCACTTTTGAAAGGTAGAGTGATCAGCGTCTCTAACAAGATATTGCCTCCTTCAAATTAAAATTGACCTCTTTAAATGCCTTGACAAATTGCAATTGACAAATTGCAATTGACAAATTAAAATAATTTGTCAATTGCAAGCAGATGTGTTTTAATTTTTTTTCCACTCAGGATCCAAGGAATTTACTGTGACTCAAGCCCTGACTTCACCAACTGTTCTATCAGTTTCTGAACCTCTCACTGCAGAGATGGACCAGGTACAGTACATATTTACGGTATTCCATTAGGATTTGTCTGCCAACCACAAAAATACCGTAATTTTCAAAGAAAAAACTGCAGTAAGTTTTAATTTTTAAACCCTGATTAAACGAATATATAAGTTGGGTTTGACCACCAACGCTCATCGACTATCATCAACTTTGAGCTGGTTCAAATTTTGACGAGAGTTTTTGCTTGTCTGACCAGTAATAATATCCGATCAGTTCTCTCTCATCAACTCTCAGGCAACTCTTGATCTCGTTTGACCAGGCCTTAAGCTTTTAACAGAACAGTTTATTGTATATTTCTTATGCGATGTGCATCTTTGCAGCCGGAACTGGAGGTGACTATCTCGGTCAATCAAGCGTTGTTGGCGCCACAAGAACTGGATGGAAGGTACAAAATGTCATAGAGACATAGACATCCAATCATCTGTAATATTTTGAAATAAATATCTGCTCAGTATAAATATTACGCTTTATTACTTCAGCAATCTATTCACAGTTCAAATGGACAGTGCATATTCAGTACCTGAATCCTGGCAGAGCGGGGGACAATCCTTCACTTACACAGTTACTTTGCCAGTGCCAATAACATCACAGGTAATGAATCAAGATCTTGAACATCTGTTTCCGATACTCTTGGTTAACATTTATCCCATTTTACAGAAAGAAAACACGGTTGTTATTCCAAATGGTTTGCTTCGACCGCCAGGAGAGAAGGTGTGTAAAAACTTAAGGACCCTTAAGATACTCCAACGACAGCAAGTTAGTCGAAACATTGAATAAAAATGTTAACTGTTTCGATTCTTTGGTATTTCTAAAATTTCTTAGTAGTAACCGTTTTTGGAGATCCTGTGGGTATGCGCAAATCGAGCTTTACCTCAACTATAATTTATAGTGTAATGTAATTTTTTGTGTAAAGTTTGTAAGGGAGGTGCCTCGCATGGGCTTTTTCTGACCCGTTCGCACGTTTCCTTATTTTGGGAAATACCTATTTATCGTTATTGTTAGTATTCCCAATAAAGTTATAAAGAGTAACGGTTGAGATTTATTTCGTTGCGCGCACAAAATGATCTTTTTATGTAAAACTTCTATTTTGTTTTCAAAGGAGATTAGCCAAAAAAGAAAATGGAGCATTGCACCTGCATCTTCTGGTTTAGATCTTTTTATTCAGGAAAGGTTCGTCCTGATACACTGTATAATCACAAAATTAAGACGTCTTTATTGAGTCGTCATATACTGGGTCCTTGAGGGAGAATAACAGTTTGAAATTGGTTAAGCTATGCATAAATAAATTTAGTCTAGTTCTTTTCTAGTTTTCTGTTTTTCTATGTTTACTATATCGTTTCTATTTGTTTAGTTATGTTGGGGAGAGTTTTACTGAAGAAGAACATGGCGATTTGCACGATATTAATGTACGTTTGACTCATTAAATGAAGGGCGTACCTGACCTCTATATATGGAGAACAGTTCAGACAAATACAGTTTGTTTAGTTTATAGGTTTCCTCCTGTAGTAACACTGGATCAATAAAATACGATATTACCTTTACTAAAGTGGACCTCTAGGAACAATTTAGAGATATCGAGTATAAATAAAGTTAGTTTAGTTTAGGTTTCCTCCTGTAGTAACACTGGGTCAATAAGAGATTATACTGGACCTCTAGGGAGAACAGTTTAGAACTGATAGAGCTTTTTATCATAATAATATTAGTTTTTATTTGTTAGTTTAGTTTTAGGGAAGTCTTAAACTCTGGTTAGAAGGTGATGTAGCGCACCAATGCAACGCCAATCCCTCGCTACTATAAATGAAAACGTTTCATACAAATTGCGTCTTATTTTCATGTCTTATTTTCCAAAATAGGATTTAAACTTCAGACGTCAGGCTCAGGTGGAAAAACCACGTGTCACGTGGAATTCAGAGAGACGATGCTTTTTGTCTTCAGAAGCAGCGTTAAGGTAAGGCCACGATGACCATCGGACATGCAGCTATTTCAGCTCACTACTCA